ACTAGATTAATTACTATTTTTAGTTTTAGAAATATTTTAGCAAAAATAGTTTTTAACTTTAAAAAGCCCATGAATAAAACAGCTTCCTGTTCAATAATAAATGTATTTTTGTTTTAGTACTAGGGATTAGACCTTTGCACTGAGCTATCTCCCCAGCCCTTTTTAATGTTTTTTTTGTTTGTTTGTTTGTTTTGCCTTGTTTTTTGAGACAGGGTCTCAGTAAGTCATTAGGTTGTGCAGGCTAGGCACTCTTAATTGTGATCCTCTTGCCTCAGCCTCCCAGAGCGCTGGGATTACAGGCATGTGCCACCACGCTCGGCTTACGCATTTTTTAAAAATGTCAACAATAGAACTACTTCCCAGATGAATGCTAGGAAGTTAACACCACCTACTACACATACTGGTTTGCATATATTGCTACTAAGCTCCATTTTAATGAAAGCAGAATTTTATTATTATTTCATGAATTCATAAATTGGTGAATTTTATAAAAATGATTCTATTTGTATTTTTAGTCAGCTCAATACATTTTTTATTCCTTGAGACTTTTTCTTTGGTAATTACAAGTTTTTGGAGATTTTCCTGTCATCTGTTAATTTTTAGTTTGACTCAGTTATGACTACATGGCACACTTTCTATTGTATTACTTATCTACATGGTTTATTACCTTAGTTATTGCTATTGGATTGGGGACTCTTGCCCAGGTTCTTGATGCCCTGAAAAAACAAAGGCAGAACAGCCAAAAAGAGCAGGAAGATCAAAGATTTATTTGAGAACTGAAAGTATACTCTATCTGCTGGGAGCACCCAGAAGAAGAGCTGGTGCCCTAGGGAGCGTGGCTCTGAGGGCTTTAGGCATAGGGTCTGGGGTAGGACTGAGCCATTGGTCTGAGGTTTGACTCCGGCCAGTGAGCGACCTAGCTCGCCTCTTGGCAGGTGGTGAAGTTTTTGACTTTGTGTGGCCCATTCATTGAAGGAACTGTAATGGAATGCAAAGTCCCTGGGGGCAGGGTGTGGCGTATCAGCATTGTCAATAACATGGTAATTCATCTATATATTCCCAATATATTTGAGAGTCTGAGGAAAAAATCCAAGCTAAGCTCATCAGAATAAGTGTCATCTGCCTTTCTTTTTAACTCATTCCCATGGTATTTTGCAAATATTTACACTTATTTCATGTGGTTCTTTCCCCAGTTGTACCACAGGCTTCTTCGCAGTGAGATATTTTTGGTTTCGTGTATTCCTCCAGGACCTACTGAGGTGCGCACGTACCTAGCGACAACAACTCTACAAATTATACTAATTAAAACAATTCAAATATCTACCCATCCCCAGATCCTGCACCAACTTTTCCACAAAATTTTCTATGCATCTAACTCTAGCACCCCACAGACTTCTACAGAACCCGTGACCATGAGCTGTTCTCAAAAAGCAAATATTTTGAGGTGTTTTAGTATTTCTGTAATTTAACATTTAACTTTGAATTTTTAAGTGATGGAAGCAGTACTACAATAATTGTAATAGTGTTTGATAAGAGTTTGCCAGTCAATTAATGTAGTTTCTTGCAAATGTAAATCAAGCTTGCTCCAGTTCTACAAGGACTCCGCCACAGTCTTTAGGATGAAGAAAAATCACTGGCTTCCCATGTGCTCCTGTTTTGGCTTCTTCACTTAGAGTACGGATCTCCTTTTTTTTCAAATCCATCACAGCTTCATTGATATCATCCACCTTGAGAAAAGGAAATTAACGAGAATACACATGAGATTTTAAAACTACCATAGTACAGTACTGTAAGACTTAGAAGAAACATTAAAAGGTTATGCATTTGAGTTCATCTGCCTTTGGACAGGAACATTCTTAACACATCATAATGACTAGAAGTGTAGCTGTATATTAGAGTGCATACCATGTGCGAGTGTATACCATGTGCGAGACCCTGGGTTTCCTCTCCAACACTGCAAATTAACAAATAAAAAGCATCACAAAATATAAGCCTCTAATTTTCAGAGATATGAAAGAAGTTAGGAACTTTACCGTAAGGGAGCAAGTACAGTGCTGAAGAATTTCCATCATTAGTAAATGTTCCCCTGGTGACTTAAATTGTGTATTCTATACTTCATAATAGTTTCTTCTGATAATAATATTGCCGATATTTGGCAGCGTGGGGTACATGTTCTGTTTTGAAAAAGATGAGAGCAGACCAGCTCCAGTACAAGTGGATGCACATTGTATTAGTACTCCTATTTTTTTTTTTTTTTATCTTTTTGAGACAGTGTCTCCCTATGCAGTTCAGGCTGCCTTGAGCTCACTTTGTAGCCCGGGCTGGTCTCGAACTCACAATGATCCTCCTGCCTCAGCGTCCTGAGTGCTAGGATTACAGTCGTGCGCCACCATGCCTGGCTCTCCTACTTCTTTTTAAGGTTTTTGGTATATCAAAGTCGCATCCAGATGACCACAGTTCCTTCCATGCTAATCTGTACAGCAGAGCAAAACTCTCTCCAGGCATGAAGCTAGAACATTATAGCACTCCACTTGTCTGAGTGCCCTCTTTCAGGATTAACATTGTGTGCTGCCTAATGTCCAAGACCAGAAAATCATTGGTCAGGCAGGCGGATGAACTGGTTACTGTTACATCACCTTGGCTGCTATCAGAATTCTAAATCGGCAGGGTTATTTCTTAGCACTTTTAAAATGTCACTGCATACCATTCTATAATCTGTGTATCTTTCCTCTCTGATAGCTTTTATCATTTCTTTCTTTACTTTTGGCTTTCAGCTTGCTACTTGGTGTGCTTAGATTTCACTTTATTTTCATTTGCTCTACTTGAGACTGCTGAGCTGCTGAGCTTTCTGAATCTGTGGGTTGATGTCTTCCATCAGACTGGTAATGTCCTTGTTGACTATTTTTTCCATTACTGCCTCTGTTCTATTTTCGCTTTCCTCCTTTCCTAGGACTCCATGCTCTGCTAGAACCTTTTACTATGTCCTTCGTCTCTCTCATCTCCCCTCTGCTTTCTTTTCCTCCCATGTTTCTCCCTTATCTATGTTTTTTACTTCTTGATTTTGGACTTCTGACCTCTAGCCCTATGAGATGATAAATGCCTGTTGTTTTAAGCCACTAAGTTTATAGTAATCCTATACACATACAGTTCACTCTGTTAGCTCAGAGGGCCTAGAATCAATGATACCTCAGTAGCAATAAGCCAGCCTAGAGCTCAGATTTTGGTTTCTACTACATTCTCCAGTAATAGGAACCAGAGCTTCCTGGAAAAATGAATGGTTCTATGCTAGGGCATGGAATTTTGAGCTTGGTATACCTTTCAGTTTGAGAAAATAAGGAAATGCTTTAAAAAGAGATGGGGAGATGTCAAAGGATGTAAATGCCAACCAAGAGAGCTTCAAATGGCCAAAGCTAGAACAATTTGAGGAACAAAGTATAATAAATATCCACAGTGCAACTAATATAATTCTCCACACTCCTTACATGTGTTATGTAATGACTTCCTTCCAAAAAGTATAGCATGGAAGAGAAAAAAGCAAAGGACAACAAAGGAGAAACCAGACAACACTTCCTCAGGCAGGGATCAAGGTTAATCTCAGCAACAGTAAGTCATGTTCGTATTGTGTGTCCTTGATATGCTGTGTTGAGAAAGGCATTCTACCTAGTGGCCTTCCTTGCCCAAATCAATGGCCTCAGTCTAATGAGAATAAAACATCGGAAAAATCTCAATGGATGGCTTACAAAATAAATGACCAAAAATCTTCACAGTGTCAAGGTCATTAAGAACAAATAGGGAAGAATAGCCCAAGGAGTCATAATATCCAGATGTGATAAGGGGTCTTAGATGGCATCCTGGTGCAGAAACAGGACACTGGATAAAAGCCAAGGGAACCTGAAACACAGACTTTTGCTAGTAACAATGGGTTATCATTGGTTCATGGTGACAAATAAACTAATGTTAAGATGTTAATAATTTTTTATAAACCGCCTGTAGAGATTACTCACTAAGGAGCTGGGGATTTAGCTCAGCGGCAAAAGCGCTTGCCTGGCAAGCGCAAGGTTGTGAGTTCGGTTCCCGGTACCGGAGAAAAACCAAAAAAAAAAAAAGAGATTACTCACCATTTTTAATGAATGGCCCTTGCTAGAATCCTGATTAACAAGTCAAATATAAAAAGATATTTGTAACTCAACCTTGTAAGTTTGATTTATGGACTATATATAGATGATGCCTCTAAAGATTTCTCTTTAATTTTGATTGATATGATGTCACTGTGGTTATTTATTTCTTAGGGACACATGCTGAATAAAGGCAAAATGACAAGTGGTAAATTACTTTAAAATGATTTAACAAAGGAGAAGGGCCAATGAAGCAGGAGTAGCAGGATCGTGAAAACAAATCCTGGTGACAGAGTTTGGTGGTTCATTACATTTTCTCCTGCTTCTTGCATTTTTGAAATTTTTCACAAAATAATCATGATTCTTTTATAGTGCCCTTTTGATAACTTCTATTCTACCTATGATCATGAACATTTTAATTTATATAACATCCTATCAAAATACACATATCTACAATTCTGATGTTGCATCCCAATTTTTAGTACAGTATATACTTTTTCAATATCCCTGTATCTAAGAAATACTCCTAGGCCAAGAAACACTTCTTTCAATAAATTAGATTTACTTTTGAAAAGCACTGAATTGACACTGCACTTGCATCTACTTTGATTACTGTTTCTATCACTAAGTTTGACTTTAAAGATCGTGTACATTATTCAACCTTCTGCTAATGTTACTATAAAATTTACAATTCTGTAAGAGTTCTCTGAGTGTTTTGTTTGGCACCAGTAAAAAGAATGGAATAAAATTGTCTTCATTTTCTGAACTGAAAGTGATGCCAACCAATTCAATTTAGGAAATTAAGTCTGTCCCTCTCAGTAATAAAAATAAGTCAGTAATCACTCATCTTAAAAATGGATTTTTATGGTCTTTTAATAGTGCTTTTATAGTCTGTCAAACAATTACAGGTGTATTAGCTAGCTCTGCAAGGCCTTGAATGTCATTAGTGAAAATCTGGTCTGTTTTATTTTCATTTTAACTTATCAGCTTTTGAGTGTGTGGGCATGTGTCTGGGAGTGTATGTTGATTCTCCCATCACTGTAAATTAAGAGAGGTAGTAATCCAAATGAAACATGTTTGGATGTCACAATCAGAATTCACAATCTTCTGGTTCATCTTCTATCTTCTTTGGTGCTCAGTTGCCCTTTCTGAAAATGACAATGCAGTTTTGCTTGTAGGCAGGCAAGCTGTTGGGTAAATAACACCTTTTATCCTTAAGGCATATAGTTCTTAGTTTTATGAACAACTAAAATTTTATGAAGAAGTAATAATGTGCCGCTTTTAATAGTGCACGACAGTTTGGATGGCTTAAGAAACATAGGCTTTTATTTCACATAAAATTATACTGGTGTTAATTGATGTCAATAATGAATGAATTCAATCTTCAATTGACTGAAATCTATGAAAGTTAAAACGAGAAGTCTGCATTGAATATTTATGTTCTAATCGTCTCTCCCTCTGAAGCTAAAATCTAAGTGAATTATACAAACCTAACAGTGTTTTCCCTTTGCATGGGGTTCAAAGGCTTCCTGCGCACTCCTGGGAATTATTTCAGAGGGTGCACACTACCAAAGCTATATAGCCTGGGGGTGGCTACGTTGTTTCCCAGCTGGTGGTCTCCACTAAAATGTTCGTCAGTTGATAGCAAAATATTTAAGAAAAAAAAAAAATAATCCTAAGGGGCTAAAAACCCAAACCAACCAACCCAAACTGACTTATTTAATTGACAAGTGCTACGGTTTGGATCTCAAATGTCCTCAAAGGCCCTATGCTACAGGAGCGGGCCCAGCCTGTGGCGCTGTTGGGAGGTGGTAGAACTTTAGGAGGCGGGGCTTAGTGGAAGAAGCGAGGTCATGGGGGCGTGGCCTTGAAGGGGATATTGGGACCCTTTCCTTTTCTCTCTCTCTCTCTTCCCTGTACTTCCTGGCTGTCATGAGGTGAACAGGTCTCTTCTGCCACATCCTCCCACATGATGGTCTGTACCACCACAGGCCAAAGCAACAGTGCCAAGCAACCACGGGCTGAAACCTCTGAAGCCATGAGCTGAAACAGACTTCCCCTCCCTATAAGGTGATTACCTCAGGTGCACTCTCCCAGCGGTGGAGAGCTAACACTACAGGGCTCTTAATCTAAGATATCTCCTTTTCCCCCTCGATCTTCTCCTCCTCCTTCCTTGTTCCTCCTCTTCTTCTCCTTCCTCCCTCCTTCCCTCCCTTTCTGTAATAAAATACCCTTTATCTTATAAAATGATGTTAGCATTGGGTGGTAGTTTTAGCAATACAAAGTTTAAAACCTTGCCAACTTCCCACGTTTTCGTTTTGCTGTGTTCTCTGAGACTTTATCATGCTATGAAATCGTTGTATCTGGGAACAGGTGATCACTGGCAGAGAAACTCTGGCGGTTTTGTAAACCCAAAGTGAGAATGGATTTTTTTTGAGACAGTGTCTTGCTTTGTTGCCCTGGCTAGCCTTGAACTCCTCGCTCAAGGCTCAAGTGATCCTCTCACATCAGCTTCCCAAGTAGCTGGGACTTACAGGTGTGTGACACTGCAACTGGTTAGAATGGAGTGGTTTTAAAGGCGGGACAGTCTCATTCCCCCACTGTCTGTCTGT